TCAAACTTAAAATAAAGTAATCAACTGGATTCAACAAGCTTTACAACTTCATATTCATCCTATTATACTTGGTAACTTCAATACACAGGATAATACTCACAGCTTCTTCTCTAAATATAAACTTATTAATTTTCTTAATAATTCTAATATATATAATATTGAAGCTCACTTTAATAACAAACACTTCATCTGGTCTAACAATACTAGCAGTAGTCATATTGACTACATCTGAACTAACCAATTCAATATATAATTTCTTCTTTCTTATAGTCTTGATAACAGCCAAACTTCTAGCTCTAATGATCATCTAATTCTTTCTTCTACCTGGACTTTTCCATATGCTTATAGCAAACTCATATATAAACATATTGGCATTAATCACTGTATTTTCAACTACAAAGCTATATCCACAGAAGACTAGGAATCTTTTGCAGATACTTTATCTCAACAACTCCTATTATACAAAACTCCTACCAATAATGAAACTCATGAGAGTATTGAAATTACTTGGCATAAAATTCAATACTCTATTATTTACAATGCTATCCACACTATTTCTAACAAAGTCTCTCACAAACATAGCTACAACCATCAATACTCACCTCACAGTACTCTATTATACCTATCTCTCAAAAAACTTGGTCACATTATTAAACTTATTAAAAAACTTATCCAACATTCCAATACCTCCTATATTAATCAAAACATCTCCCAAATTAACAAACAGTCACAATGTGATCTTTAACTACTTACTTCTACTGACTTAACCTTTATTTAAACTTGGCTTTAACATGCTTACTCAATCTGGAAATAACTCTTCCATACCTGCCATCTTGAAAACTCTCTTTTACTTCGACTACAAATTAACAAAGCTACTGAAAAAAGATGTGTTAACCTTACAACACATCCTACTTAGGCTATCAAGAGCATTCTCAATTATTACCACCAACCTGTTTACTATACTAATATAAAACTTTCTCAAGAGCTTATTACTAACCCACCAATCATTAAACAACATGTTCGATCCCATTTCAAGACTGGACAGCATACAGACCTATCAATTAAACTCTCTTTAACAATTTCTGGCAACAACACTACCTTTTACCTTCTCACATTAATTCAACTTGGTATCACTTCCTTAATTCTTTTATTACTAATAATGAACTTACAAGAACTCTCTCTCAACTACCTAATAACAAAGCCTGTGGTCCTATAGGCATTAGTTATGAAATGTTTAAACATATTAGCCCTCTATATACTTCTACCATCATTGCTCTTTTTAACTATTGCCTTCTTGAAAATAGAATTCCTAAGCAATAGAAACATAGTCGCATTTATCTTATCTCTAAATAAAATAGCTTTGATGGTGACTTTAATTTTACTCAACCCATTAGTCTTGTTAAACATATCTGCAAGCTCTATACCAAAATCCTTGTCAATCGACTTAGCTCTGTATTTTCAACTTATCCTATCCTCTTACCTTTTAATTATTTTGCTCTTCCCAACAATATTACCTCAATCCCTATTTATATTCTGATCAATCTTATTGAAGATGCTTCTTGCAATTATAAGGACATTTGGTTACTTTCACAAGACATGAGTAAAGCCTATGACTCTGTTAACTTTATTTTCTTTAAACATGCACTTTCTTGCCTCTCACTTCCTTTATCCACTATTAACATTTTCTTTAATCTTCTTACTGACCATCACAATCAAGTTATAACTAATCTTAGTTTAACTTAATTCTACCCAGTTCACAATGATATTGACCAAAATAAAACTATTACTTCCTTGTTATAACATATTTACTATGATCTACTTATCTTCTATATATACTTAAACACTTCTGACTACAAATTACAATCTTCTTGAACTACTAACTTCAAACTTCAAACATCTAATTCATTACAAAAACAATGTTCTGTCTTGGCTTATATGAATAATACTCTTTGGATTGCTTCATCACAATCTGAACTATCACATATATTATCTATAGCTGAATTCTTTTATGCTATGGCCAATATCCAAGTCAATCCTTCAAAATCTATTTTGGTTACAAACAATCCTTCATCTCACTATACACCTATCTTTTATAATAACCATCTTCTTCCTCTTTACTCTTCTAAAATACCATTTAAATTTTTAGTTTGTTAGTTTACTTTGGACAATAAACAATATAAACAAACAAAACTACTTATCTCTAAATTCTCTCAATTAATTCAAATTACTAAAATTAAATATATTACTGACTCACATGCTCATTATATTATTAATACAGTGATTATTCCTATTCTTAAATACCAATTTCAAAATATCATAATCAATCAACCAACTTGCAATAAAATTTTTACTCAGCATATTGGCTTTATCAAACTCAAAGCTAAACTTTGTTATACAATACCTTCTAGTACCCTTCTAGCACTCTTCTGGACCCACAAATTTATAATATTAAACACATTTGGGACATCCAACTGCAATACCATATTCCTAATCTTATTAAATGACTTAATAATCCTGATCTATTAGGCACATCTACCTGTATTCGAATCCAACAATTACAAAATAATCTCTGGTCTTCAACTAGCATTTTCTCTTATTCCAACCTAATTATTGATGGTCCCAAATGTCTAATCACAAACTTTAAAATTATACAACTCATCAAACATATTGGCTGGATATTTTCACCTAATCCAACCTACAACATTCCTTACACTTTACATAATAGAACTATCTCTCTTGAATTTCTCCTATTCTCTTATTCTAAATATCCTATTTTCAAAAAACAACTTAGATATCAAAACTTCGCTTCCTTGAACAACTTACCACCTATGATAATTTATATTTATTACATTGGCAATATATTTCTTCCAGACTAAACAAACTTTCTAAAGGTGTTAACCTTAATGGTTTACTACTCTTGAGAACATTACTACTAGTCATTCCTATGAATGTACATTATACAATTATTTTAACTATCTTAGTTAAACTACTTTTTTTATATTACTGGTTACTTTAACTCTAATACCAAATCCTGGCTACTTACTGTTCTCAATAATCAAATCATTGTTGGCAAGGCCAGAAGGCATAATAGCCCTACAGGCCTTACTCTTATTACTCACTGGCACTGTTCATTTCAGTCTCAGTTTTCTAACCTTTATTCTACTCCTCCTTTTACTACTACTATATGCTCTGGATGTCATCTTAACTCCAATACAATCACCAACAAGTGCATTATCTTTATTCCTACAAATTTGACTACAAAATTACTTTGTTGTATTAATTTTGACAAAACTCTTAACCTACATCCCAATTTTCTTGATATTGCATACTTTGTAACTATTTGATATTCCTTACATATCTTATCTTCTCTTTTATTAACAATCAACCCACAACAATTATCTGACATCTTTTAGCCAAGCCAACTTACTGACAGCCTACAGTCTATTGCTAATTTCAACTATAACCTAACTACTATCTCATTTTATACTGATGGTTCAGTTATTGAGCTTGGTATCTCTTAATGCTTTATAAACATAGGTTGGGTCCAAGTAGATAACTCTACAACTACTCATTTATTTGAGGCACAAATTAAACTTTGGCTATGCTCTTTTAAAGCTGAAATTCTTGCTATTCTTTTAGCAATTATTACTGCTCCTAGAAACTGTTCAGTCCATATTTATATTAACTTACAATCTGTAATCTTCAAATATCACAGTATTTGGTTATCAGCTTCTAAACTCTCTCATACTTATATCTCATATTTCTCGATTTGGCAAACTTTCAATAACTTCATTAATTCATATAATATTCAGCTTACTTTTCATAAAGTTACTGCACATCAAGATAATACATTTAATAATCTTGCTGACCAGCTTGCTCGCAGTCACCAAATACTACTCTTTCTAATATTTCTAAGTAACAACACTTACAACCATGCATATACTCCCTTTTATAACCAATTTCCTATCGAAATTTCTATTTAATGCTCTATACTTACTATTTGTCAAGCCTATATTATAACACTTTGGATATTTCAACATCATTTTCAACAATGGTCTACCATTGCATCCAATATTAACTGAGAAGCCACCTAGCTTTATATTAATAACAATCAAAAAGTTTCTAACTTTGCATATAGCTTCTATTTCTCTACTTTAAAAACCTTTTGTATTAAAATTCTCTTAGATGAATTACCTGTTTCTCATATCCTTTACAGACACAACCCTTTTTACTCTTCTCTTTGCCATCAATGCAATCAAACTAGTTCTTCATTTCACTGAACTTTCTGTCCTTCTATTCAAACAATCTATCATTTAATCTCTAATTCTCTTAATTGCATCTTAAATGTGACTGCTCTTGACATGTCTACTAATTCTGTCTCTAATTTACATCAAGTAATTCTTACACTTAACAGTTTTAAACTGCACAACTTTTCTTATACATCATCTCTTATTTCTACTTTATCTAGCTTAGTTCCTATTGATCTTATTTCAACTATTCACAATACTTCTATTCCTTACTGTACAGCTACCTTACTTTCTATTAAATTTCTTCTTTACTTAAACCAACAAATTTATAAACAAATATGAATTCTATATTGTATTTTACAATCAGCTCAGTCTTCTATTACATCTTTTACAAACTTAACTTATAATTCTCTTTCTAATTTACTATAACATCCTATTTCAATACCATAAATTATCACTAAAATTGATCTTTGGACTATCCAATGGATTAAATATTATATCTTCTCTCATATATTATTACTAATACTCAAATCTAGGTAAGCCTTGGCCACTCTTGTAGGTTTAGATTGCAGATTATATGTTTGAGTCTTTATTCTTTATATGTAATTTAAAAGCAAACTCTTCTTTGTAAAAACTTCAATTGAATTTCAATAAAGTTAAAGGCATGACCTCACTATTAATATTTTAATAAAAAAAAATAAACTATAATTTTATATATATATCTATATATGTTTGTTATTTATTATTCCTCACATCATTCGTCTAATGGCTCAGTCACATGTTGTAGCAGGAAATTTTAGGTTCTTTCACTTAAACTAAAATAAGAGTTTTTTGTTTAACTATTTTAAGCAATCAACAATACAATTAAATTATAATTATATTTGCCTTTCTAATAATTTCACTCATTTTATTCTCTGAAATTTTTCGAAATTCAGGCATTTGCTTTGCATATTTAGCTGTAATCATCAAATGAAGTGATTCCTAGATAACATTAATAATTATTATAATTATTTATTTATTATAATTATATAATGTAATAAAATTCTACCTGATAGCTATTATATACAGGTTTGTCCAGTTTGAGTGTTTTAGAAATATTAATATATATTGCTTCATTTGGTTTTTCAATTGGAGCCAACTTTAAATTGTAAATTATTAAATTATATAAAGATTTAAATTTGAAATATTATATATAGTATATAATAGAACCTCATTATTAGTATCTTCCATCTCTGAACTAGAAGTATCATCCTTTTTGTAATTTTTCTTCCTTTTGGTCCTTTTTTTTTTTTTGGATAAGTCATTATCCATATTATCTAAATTGGAATCTGCTTTCTGGTTCTTAACCTCTTTGTTACAAGCAATTTGAAGTTTTTTTAAGGTTTCTAGTCATTTAAGTAAAGCTAAAATATTTTTTGTTACAAAAGTTTTATTATTGTTATCCTATATCTACTTCTTTTAATATAGTAGGTAACTAGAGTAACCTTAGACAGTGAACACTTTTTGTAACTTCACTTGTTACTGTGTTATAACTAAGTCAGAAGGCATTTTATTTTAGAAAACTTAACAAAGAAGATTTAAGGCAATT